ATGTAAAGACTCTTGGCCATATTTAGAGTTGATAATGTTTGGAGGAATGAGATCTCTCATACAGTTCTGGGGAGCATATAAGTGGATAAAACTTTATTGGAGCAGGGTATAGTGGCAAATGCCTGTAATCCTAGTGACTTGAAAGGCTGAGGTAGGAGGATCGCAAGTTCAAAGCCAGTCTCAGCAACTTAGTAAGGTCCTAAGCAACTTATCAAGAATCTGTCTCAAAGTGAAAAATAAAAAAGGTAGGGGATATGGCTCAGTGGTAAAGTACCCCTGGGTTCACTCCCCAGAACCAAAACAAACAAACCAACAGAAAAACTTTGTTGGATGGTAATTTGACAACACACAACAAAACCCAAAATTATGCAAAGCATTTGACACAGTAATCCTACTTCTGGGGATTGATCTTGAGTAAACAAGAATCACATCCGGATTTAGAAATAAGAATTTTTACCATATCTATTTTTAAAATACTTACAAAAGATTGCAAACAACCTAAAAATCCAATTCTAGAAAACTGGTTGAATAAAACATGATATCTCCTGCCAATGCAGCCATTAAATGTGAAACCGTAGAAAAACATTAAGAGACATGGAAAATTTTGCTATATTTCTGTAAGTGAAAAAATGTACAAGCAGTATAGAGAGTACATTTCATTTTAGGTAAAAAAATATAAAATGTATATATTAATGTCTAGGAAGAAGGGATTTACACTGCTTCTCTCAGGGTTAGTTAATTATAGATAATTTTCATTTTCTTCTTTTCACTTGTATTTTTTAATTGTTGTACAATGAAGATGTATTGCTCTTATAATAAAAACTCTAATAATAAAGTCATTTAAAAAATCGATGCTAATACCCTATAAATGAATACTATAAGAAATAACAGACTTAGACCTTGGTAGCCAAAACCAATATTTAACTGAAGACTGAAAAAAGGTTCAGGAGCTTCAGGGAGGCCTGAGATGCTGCGCCTGTAAAAATGGAGCCCTGGGCAGTGTTGGTTTAGGCCTTGACCACCAAAGCTGGTGGCATGGGCCTTGCTCTCCAGAGCAGCTGACAGTTTTGACCTCTGTTTGGGGGGCGGGGGGCGAGGGGGAAGATCACTGTAAATAAGACCAAAAAAAAAAAGCACCTCTCTTGCCTAGGAGAATGGATCCAGGGATCCAGTGAGGGTTGGTCCACTCTGTGCGGCTAAGGCCCCACTGGGCATCTTCCACTTAAGCCTCATTTCCATTTTATGGTTATGGAGTCTGAGGCCCAGAAGGGTGCATGCCTGTGTTGCTTAGTCAAAAGACTTAAAGGGGAATCAAAGCCAGCATGTCTGATAATTGAAGTAGCCATGTCTTGAATCAATTCACCCAGTGGAATCTAAATACTCAAGTCTCAGTGAAGAAGAGTTAGCTCTGAGACTGGGCTTTAAAGACCCCCCAAATCTCCTTTCTCCCCTTCCTTCCATGAAACAGGAATCAAAGTTCATGAGTTGCCATCTCTGTGCCACAGAACCACGCAGTGTTATAGAACCACGAATCTGTTACAGCTGGCTACCCTAGCACATGGGAGAAATACCTTCACCTGAATCTCACTGCTCACTGGCCTCAACAGAGTGAGCAAATGACTTTCATCCTGTATATGAACTGCCACCGGGCTTGGTGGGAATGTTAAAATGAATCCCAAGGTTCTACCTGACTGAGAAAAGAAGAGCATCAAAATTAGAGATGCCTAAGCTGTGGGAGAGTGATTGACAATATCTTTGCCACATATTTCCACTTTGGTCTAGAATATCTGTTACCCTCAACGTCGGATTTCTTCATTCTATCTCCCCTACTATTGATTATTCCTATGGAAAGTCAGATGCATTCTTGCACATTAGTTTCACTACATTGTTTTCTTATTTAAAACCCATCTCAACATATGTCCCTATTTCCCATGGTAGTAAATCTACTTCTTTAGCCTACCAATCAAGGCCCTCCATAATCTGATGCCGCTTAGCTTATTGTTTCTGTTTCTTAGCAACCCTGCATAAAAACCACCTCTTGGGTCTCTATGACCTATTTCTTAGAGCACACACTCTGGTCTGAAAGGGTTACCTTTAAGAGCCAGGGATGGTAGCCTGACCCACTGGGAATGACTGTGAAGCCAGACTTAAAGATAGGTAGTTAGTGTAGTTAGGCAAATCTCGTGTAATATCGGGTCAGAGAAAATGGAGTCGAATCTAATAAAGAAAATGGAATCCCCTTTGAGTCTGGGAAAGCAGAAACTGCACCTGGGAGATTTAAATATTAGTGTCCCCAAGGCCCTGGCCCATCCTAAAGAACTGTTAAAGAAGCAACACCCAGAAGGTGGGGAAGTGCTAGTCAATTCAGCCTAGGCCTCCTCCTGCCTGCATCACTCCTCTCCAACCCCATCAGCCCACCTGTTTCCCACCCTTTGCCCACCTTTTGGCCTTCCCACCTGCACCTCCTATCACATGCAACATAAAGGACTGGAATGTAGAATGACAAAGAAAACCTTAAATATATAAGGGATGGGATTTCCTCATCCCATGGATTCCCCCTTTTGGATCCCCTTTGTCCTCCAGGAGAAGTCTGTTCTACCTGCTATCCTTCAATAAAGTCTCTTACTTTCTATTCTACACTTGCGTGGGCATGCTTCTCTGTTATACTCCAGCATTCAGGGAAGCAGGACTTGTCAAGGTAACCAGCATTATCATCTGGACTAGCAGATCAGAATGAGTCACTATCTGGGAGCTCAAGGTGGGGAGAGGGCATGAGGACTGCTGAGTGGACCAATCCAGCTGAGGTTTGCTGGTATTGATGGTGTAGTTTCTATCCCCATTTAACTGCCTGTCCTCAGCCTTAAAGCAGTGCAGCACCACGGCTGATTCTGAACAAATATTGGTAGGTATTTTGCACATTTTCATCTCAGGATGCATGGTATCTTTTTTTTTTTTTTAACCATGAATGACATTTCATTTTCTTTCTGCCAATTTCAATCTCATTCATCCTTAAGTGCTCAGTTCCAAAACACCACAGAAACTCTGGTCTGTCTCAAATGACCTCCTTCTCTAAGTCCTGATATTTGACATCACTCCCCTAGTTTGCCTCCATGATTCCATGCAGATCTCTCTGTTTCTGTGATAGTGTTGATGCAACACTGTCATTCACTGCTAAGAATCCCATTTTTCCCAGGCAGTTACATTCAGGGACTTTATGGTACTGACTCACTGTCTCATTCAGATAGAGCAGTCTGGATATGGACTATGATATTAAGGTGCCTTTTAACTGTTAAATTTAAATACCAGTCTTAGGTAACAAAGCACCATAAACTAGTAGTGGAATGCAGGAGCATAAAGTACAATAAATTCTTATTGCCCATGGATAAAATGAGACAAAATATTATTCCAGAATAAAGGAAAAAGAAAGTAAAGCTATCATGGAAAAATATGAGCAGGTTAACTTTTCCAGCATGTTGAATGGCACCTGAGTGACCCAAAAGAGTTATTCAACTTGAAACTAAACAGTTGCTGGTGACTGGGTTGCGATGAATAGTTATAATTTTTTATAGGGATGAGTCAGTACTCATTACTAAAAAGAAATTCATAATGCACACCCTTACTTTGGAATAAGTTTGTCATTTATAAGCCAAAGAAACTATGCAATCTGAAACTTCTATGAATTTTGATTGTTGTGATATGGAAAAACTCAAGGCTAAGCTTTTCTAAGTTATGGGAAACAGAAAATGGCTACTTGTTAACTGTATTTGGGTCTTATTTTTTTCTCTGCATCAGAAACAGAGAAATCAAAAGTCTTTTCCATATACTGATAAGCTATGAGGACTGTGCTAATTTCAGATGATAATGAAAAATTAAAGGTACTCTCTTTGTGCTCTAATTCTCAACTCATGAGGTCCTTCTTTGGGCAGGTTGATAAGTTATCACCAATACAACCAGAAAACCATTTGACTTTGTTATTTGTTAGTTCGTGGGTAGAAGAGTAGAGAAACTTTAAACTTTGAGCCAAGGGAACAATTCTAGTTACAATTATCAACATTTGAGGCCACAGAGAGTTAGTGTGAAGATTTCCCACACTTTGCAGGCTTTGTTGTTACTGTTTACTGTTTTTTAAAAGTCGTTAAAAGCTTTTCTTTCTTTTTTTTTTTAATCCCCATCTTAAGCAGTGTTATGTTTTGGGTTCATAGCACAATCAAGAGGAATGCACAGGGCTTTCCCATATTCTCCCTACCCCTAACATTCACAGACTCATTTCCCCCCACACTTTGTTGGAGAAAAGAAGTCCTTTCTCCACCTTGATTATTTCCAGAGGCCATGAGTGAAGGTTCCTTTGGCATTTCCATGCTTCTGGTGAGAGGACTGAGATGCTTTTGCACAATTCTCTGCTACCAGAGGACACCTGTCCTGTAGGCAACAATTTGGTGAAGATTCCCGATGCTAAAAGCCAGGGAGGTTTTGCCTTGAGGAATCCATCTGGGCTGATGTCAGACTGTGTTATAGAAGGCTGGCCCAAACAGAATCATGGGCTGTAGAAGGGTGCTGACATTGCAGCTTTGTCCTTGAAAACTGATGATAGCTCTATTTAGGTAGGAGGAAGCCATGGGGGTACTGGAGAATGGGAGAAGAGACAAAGGAACAGTCCTTTACTGCTGTACCTTTCTCAGAGTTCACTGAGTCAGCCTCATCAAGAGGATCTGAGCTGTGGCATCAGCCCAAGTTAACTCAGAAAGGAACCATAATGGAATCTAGACAAGCTGTAGGGTCCAGACTGAGAACGGCACTCACCTCATATGAAACCTCAGCCAAGTTTCCACTGGTGAGTCTGGATTCTGTAGGCAATTTAGTGATTTCCTGTTGGCCACCCCCCACTGCTGCCTCCTCCCACCTGCAAGTAGTCACCCATCCATAAATCCTGTCCAGCCCTGGATTTTTGCCCAATGTTTCAGAGGGCTGGACTCACCAAGGAGAGCGGAATTCCCAGGATCCAGGACCAGCTGTGTTCCCAGAGGAGATGTCAGCACTGAAGGCAGGTTCGGTCCAGTGGCTGAGAGCAAGGCCTTGATATCTTCCAACTGTGTGGGGACGTGGGGGGGATCTGTAAGAAGACAGATGGTTGAAGCATACAGGCTGTATTAAGGGACAGAGAGAGGTGGCAGGCGTGTGTGTGTGTGTGTGTGTGTGTGTGTGTGTGTGTGTGGAACTCAGAAACTACTATTATTAAAATTATCATTTTTTTTGCAGTTCTAGGGTTCAAACCCAGGGTCTTGTGCATGTTAGGCAACCACTCTACCACTGAACCACATCCCCAGCCCCAGGCATTACTAATATTGACTCTTAAAATCACTTTTACCTAGGAAGAGATCTACTTATCAAGGCAAATCTGAATTTCAAACTTAATATTTGATGCCTAAAACAATGAGATAATAAAAACCAGGCACATTACCTTCAGGGGTTCCTTACTTTTTATCACATCACCATTGGTTCCGTATAACTTTGCAGATAAATTAAACCATATTATAAAGAAACATTTTTAAAAAGATAACTTTGGCATTCGCTATATGCCAAGTTGTGAGATAATAGTTTTCATCCCATTTTTCATTTAATTCTCATAACATCCTTTAGAGTGAGGCACTTTGTTATTGTCCCCTCACACAGAAATATGCCACAGGCGTTTCTTATTTAAAAGAACACTATGAAACACAAAAACACTATGAGTGGCTTTTTCTATGAAGAAAAATATCCAGTTGTGAAGTTAATTTGAGATCTTGATTTTATGCCCACGTGGAACCCAAATAAATAGGATAGGAGGAGGTTTGCACTGGATGCCTTGTCATTCAAAATCTTAAGTGGAGTTAGGGCTAAAGTCATCAGAAATCACAGATGACCTGAGCTAAAAGTGACAGAAATAGGAGACACAGTAGCTTATCATTTCCACTGGACAAATAAAAAGGCAAGCACTTATTGAACCTAGTGGTGGAATAATCCAGATTCTGCTGGAAAAGCAGCAGAATCCTTTTGCCTTTCTCCCTGTGCCTCTTGAAGTGCCTCTTGAAGCACTGCTGTGCCACTTCCATGGCCAGTGGCCATTCTTTTCTTCAGAGCACTCAGTGGGGTAGAATGAGAAGCACAAGAATTGATCTTGTAATTGATGGTCATTTCAACAGGAATGAGTGAGGTCCATACCATGTGTTAGGCACTTGTCTGAGATGGTAAATAAATAAGATTTACATTTTATTCCCTGATGGTGTCTGTGTCTACTTCAGAAACATCCCTCTGTCTTGCTGCCTTTGACTGCCAAAGACCATCATACGGAGAAAACAATGGTGAACCTGAGATTATTTATCCCTATATGAAATAGAACTCTGAAAACTCCTCGTCATTAGGTAGAGGCAAAACACCGTGCTTGGATTCAGGAATCCTCAGTTTGAGATATGGCTCTGTCATTCACTAACTTGGGAAGTCACTGAATCCTGCTGACCCAATAAAAGTGCGTACCTTTCCAAGCTCTTTTTCCACTCTGGAATACCATGATTTTTGGAACTAATGCTATCAGTTTACTCGAAGCTAGTCTCTTTTCTTCCCTTCATCCTTAATAGTCACTCTTGAAACTAAAGAAATCTTTGCTTATTTAGTAAAAGCAAAAAGGAGAGTTTATGTTCTATCTGCAAAAATAATCTAATCTCCTTGGGTCAAACGTCAGCCCCTCCTGATGGCTTCTACGGTATTTCTTTTTTGGTTCATGTTCATTTTATCTTTCCAGGGAGACGAAATGCTTCAGGGGCAGAGCCCATCTCTTGCATTTCTCCTAAAGCTCTACCAGAGTCGAGCATACATGGACATAGAGGTAGCACTCTGAATATTCATCCAATGAATTAATTTATTCACCTAGATGAATAAATGCAAATTGGTACAGCCAATGTGGAAAGCAGTATGGAGATTCATTTATTCATCTAGACTCTGTCTCATTATTTTACATACTTTATGTAATAGATTAAGTCACAGAAATTGCCATCAGCTTTATACATAATACCCCCTTTAAAAAATTAAACCATATTTTTGTTGATTAAAAGTTATGTCTTCTGTGTTTCTAATATACCTATAAAAACTGACAATCTTTTACTAAGAAACGAAGACTTGGATCAGGAAAAGTCCTTATATTAGAGAAAACATTCAGCATTTGTTTTTTTGGGATTGGCTAACTTTACTTAGCATTATCTTCTCCAACGCCATCCATTTATCTGCAAATGCTATGATTTTATTCTCTTTTATTGCTGAGTAAAATCCCATTGTGTATACATGCAAATTTTTTAAAATCTATTCATTCACTGAAGGGCATCTAGGTTGGCTCCACAGTGTAGCTATTGTGAATTGTGCTGCTATAAACATTGATGTGGCTGTGTCCCTGTAGTATGCTGTTTTTAAGTCTTTTGGTTATAAACCGAGGAAAGGGATAGCTGGGTCATATGGTGGTTCCATTACCAGATTTCCAAGGAATCTCCATACTGCTTTCCACATAGGCTGCACCAATTTGCAGTCCCACCAGCAATGTATGAGTGTACCTTTTTCCCCACATCCTCGCCACCACTTATTATTGTTTATCTTAAGGAGGCTGACTCATAGTGGGGTAGGGAGGGGGAGCATGGGAGGAATAGATGAATTCTAGATAGGGCAGAGGGGTAGGAGGGAAAGGAAGGGGCAGGGGATTAGTAAGGATGGTGGAATGTGATAGGCATCATCATCCAAAGTACATGTATGAAGACATGAATTGGTGTCAACGTATTTTATATATACAACCAGAGATATGAAAAATTGTGCTGTGTGCATGTAATAAGAATTGTAATGCATTCCACTATCATTTATTTTTTTAAAAAATCAATAAAAAAATAAAAGTCCTGAAGTTAAGAGTTTTCATAGTGAATTTTCCCCCACCACGTTGGATTAAAATGGGGAAGACTTTGTGCCCTTCAAACACTATATTCATGGTCACACTGTGTTAGGGTTGGGATGCAACAGGAACCAAGTAGGTGGCTCGCAGACCACACACACCTCACTGGCAACACCATAGTAGCAGCCACTGTCTTAGACTTTCATCTGTTAGTAGAAACAGCATGGAAAGGTTACTAGGGAGACAAAACCATCAACAAGCACCATAACTCAGTGTGGGGCAATAGTTCCTGGCCTCTAGGCTCCACACTAGCAGCAGAGCTGGCTGAAACCCAGTGCAAAACAAATAACATCCTTCTTTCTCTCAGCCAATTTTCTGTGGCTTCCTATGAAGACTGGAGGTTTATGCAGCCACCAGTGACAAAAACCTCCATCTAGGGTATGAAATCTGAGTGGGCAGGGGATGTAGAACCTGTGCTTTGCTTTATCATCAACTTTGGATATGAAAACAGAAGCCTAATTATTTTCCCCTAAGGAAGTGCATAAGGTATGTTTACGTATGTATGTGAGGCAAGTAACTGTTTTTCAAATTTTCTTAGAATGACAGCTTTCTCTTGGTGAGAAAACAAGCACAAATACTCCAATAATTTGTTTTTAAAGAGTAAGACCCCCCCCACAAAACTTTTTCCATCTCTATTTTACTAACCCCCAGACTCAGTAGGAAGAACAGTAGATGGTCCCTAGTCTACAGAACAAAAAAGCAAGATGGCGGAGCTCAGTGCTGAGCAATGGCAGCTGGTGGATGGTGCCCTAGCATTGTTCTTATTTTTAAATACCTATTTTATGCCAGGAACTGTGCTAGATTCTTTAGACAGGGGTTCCTCTGTTTGGGACATGATTGTGGAGTTTATGTGGACTAGATTATGAACTTCCTGGAACTATGTAAAAAATCTTACATGCAAATATTTCTGTGGAGGGAACCAGTTTTCATCTGGTTCTCTAGAAATCTTCAGCACAGGAGTTAAGACTAATTGCTTTACATCTGTTACCTTTTTTGACACTCCTGCTTCCCCTGCAATGTGGGCAGTCCTTGTTTGGTAGGCTTCCATATAGAGACCAGCAACTAAGACCAGCCAGGGGCAGGAGTTTGCTCAAGGCCACACAGTAAGTAAGAGGCAGATCCAGGGTTCAAGCTCATGTTTGCCTGGCCCCTGGTCTGCGTGCTTTCTGCTGGAAAGCCTGAAGGTGGGGAGAAATGAAGAGATACTGAATTTGCCTTTCACATCCTTCATGGAATCAGGAAAACAAGGAGATGGAGGATGGGTTGGAGAGTTACCTCCTGGTGTCCACCAAGGCAGTGAGCTTTGAGGTTTTTACCTAGGATCAGGAGCTGGGTGTTCTCGGTCAGCTCTCCATGAACATTAGCTGCTCTGCAGGAGTACAGGCCCTGATCCAAGGAGGACACATTTGTGAGCAGCAAGGAGCCCTCGTGCAGATGGTGAGAGGAGCCCAGTTTGCTTTTATTCCTGAACCAAGTGACTTCAGCTTCAGGCACACCTAAGGGGAAAAAAAAAAAAAGAAAAAAAAACCACACTCCATTAGCCAAACATATTCAGGTGAATGCAGAGGCGTTTACAGCCTCTTGGCTAGTCCTCCTGCGGCTACTCTGAGGAAGCATCTGCCTGGGCGTCTTCTGTATCTTTTGGCCAAACCAAATAACACCTTGGACCTTTGAGTTGTCTCCAGATCTTTTGCCTTTTAAATCCTACACTGATGAGGCAGGAAGAGAGAGGCCAATTAAAAGAAGAGGAAACAGGCAGCTAGTAAAGGGCACTTGCTAAAGTATCCAAATTATTTGGAAAAGACTTTTTAAAAACAAAAAATCCCAAATCTATATATTTGTGAAAATAAAGGCTCTACAACTGCATGAGACAACACAATATTAAGAAAAGCCACATATAAGATTATATATATTATGAATTCATTTCTGTAAGTAGAAGCCCCAAACTGGTAACATTAATCTACATTGTGAGTAGTGAGGGTGGTGGTTCCCCTAAGGAAGTGGGATGGGTGCAGAGGGCTTGTGACTGAGAGAGGGTATGTGGGCTGGGCTACTGGAAATGCTTCTTGACCTGGCTGGATGTGCAGGGAGTGTTTACTTGGTATCTTTATGATATGTGTACTTTCCTATATAGATATGTTTAATAAAAAGTTAAAGGCTATAAAACATTAAAATATATGTCTGAACTAGACAACTAAAAGCTGCTAGATCCTTATTAGAGCCGACACTCTGTGAACAAACCATGCTTGCATTTTTGGAAGCTGCTATAGTTTGGATCTTGACTACTCTCCAAAGGGCAATGTATCAAAGGCTTGTCCCCAGAGTGGTCCTATTTAAGAATGTGAGGCTTAGGGGGAGGTCTGTAGTCACTGGAGGGGGACCTCAGTCCTCTCCTCATTCTTTTCTGCTTCCTGGTCAAGAAGTGAATGGGTTTAGCTCTGCCACATGCTCCCACCATGGTGTGCTGCCTTGCCATAGGTCCAAAGCAACAAGGCCAACCGATCATGGACTAGTACTTCCAGAACTGTGAGCTAAAATAATAACTTTTGTCTTCATAAGTTGATTATTGCAGATGCTTTGTTATAGTGACAGGGGGGGTGACGAACACAGAAGCCTATATATTTTCAGAATGAGAGAACAGAGCTGGGGCACCAGTGGCACTGCAGGAAATAGTCCAAAGGAGAGGTCTGTCCCCCACCACAACCCATGTCTGTGGTCTATGAGGGCTGGGAGGCTGTGCTGCTGTGGGATGGCTGCCTGTCTTTGGAAGTCAGGCTGTTCTTGGAACAGCCTAAACTCCTTGGGAAGTCTCCCTGTGGTGGATGAGCTGGTACACAGGCCCCTGTTGAAGGTAAGTCCTCCTGGATGGTCCTTGAGGGAGGTTCTGTCGGAGGCTGGGCTCTGAGTGAACAGAGAGACTGAAAGTCTATGGCATCGAATCACAGGTCTCCCAGGAGACGAAAGCTTCATCCCTTACATCACCCAGCTTTCTGATCCAGTTCATGAAGTTTACTCCTAGAACTCTTGGGCAAGTCTCCAGAGCATGTTTAGAATGTCAAATCCTGGAAAATGGGGTCAATGCCAAGAAAAACCCAAAAGGCAGACCTTTAGTCCAGCACTTTCTCTGAGTTGGGCTGGACTTTGCCACTGGGGCAAAGGGCAGTGTTGCCTTCACTGGCCTGATGACTGTTGGGGATACTGAAGTCTTCAAGTAGTTACCTGTGTACCTGTTACCTGTCCTTGAAACTGGCTGGAAGAAGAGAGGCAGGGCTAATGAAAAGGGGTGGAGACTTAGATAGTGCAGGTCATCACCTCAAGGAGAGACACACACTAATTCAGCCTAAATGATGCGATGCTTGGTGCTCATTTGTGTGAGACGGGCATCATCTCTAAAGATGCCTACATGAGGGGCAGAAAAGCTGATTTTTCAATGTAGCACCACTAGGGAGAGCAAGAGCATCATGATGCCTGACCATGCCAGCTTGGACTCTGGACCTTGAGCTCAGATTTTACATTGAAAAAAAAAAAATCCACAGTATTTAGTAGAAAGCCTCTGAAAAGTAGGTCAAAAAGAAAGAGTTCCAGTTATTTCTCTCCTGAAAGCACAGGGGGAAGTGGGGTCCTACATATCATTCATATTCATCTCCCTTCCCTTGAATTTCTCAGGTGTAGCACTTCCTGCTGACATCCTTTTTTGAGGAGGGCTGTGGGCAGCAGGCACACA